GAAGATGACACTGAAAGCTTTTATGCAAGCATCCAGGAAAAAAAATAATCATACAGCAAAACAAGGCATGCTTAAAATCATGTAAAAGTAAGAAACAAAGCAAAACCAAATATCGCAAAATTTGGTCTAGAGGTCAGAAACGAAGCAAGAGAACAATATGTTGAGTTTTGGGAAGCAGACAATATTTTTATATGATTCAAGCAACTGAACAGACGACTGTACACATGGACATCACTAGATGACCAAAGAAGAAACCCAATGGACTATGTAATTGGTATCATGAGATGGAGAAGCTGTGTTTTCTCTACCAAATCTAGAGGAGACTGAAATTAATGGGAACTTGGTTAACTCTTATAGATTCTAATATGTAACTCTTATAGATTCAGCCGGCATAATCATGTTGGGATCAATAATTGGATTTTAAATTTAGTCTTCCCAGAAAAACATTTTTAATTATTAAGTTGCATTATACTGCATATTACTCTAGCCCAGCCCAGCCTTGCTGATCTATGAAAGGAAGGTGGTGAAAATTCCCCGCACTATGCATGATAGAAAAATTATGTCTTCTTCTTTTCTTTTAAAGCAATTATTTCTCTCTATGTCTTCTTTGCGTTAGTATAGCATCAAGGCATTTTACACACCTGCAACGGAGATTCACTAATGCTCAATCTTTGGCTACCCAGCCTAAGGACTACTTAGAAAGCAAAACATGCATTGACAATGCAGATAATCACTTTCAGAGCTATTTTGCTCTTACCTCTGCTTCTTCTCCATGGTGGTGTAAGCCCAAATGTGTAGGCAAGTCTTTCTCTGGTGGAATTAGTTCCCCCTTCAGACTAAAGCGTGCTTGCATTCCCTATAGTGGGGAGGCAAATAAAAAGAAATTATATAGCCCTTATTACTTACTATATCACTTAGACATAAACAACATGGCTATTCAAGTCTAGCAAGATTGAGATCTTTTATCAGGGAAGGTAATTCAGTTTTTTAGGACTCCCATTTCCAGAATTCGCCCAGAGCCCATGAGGCAGAATTTTGGCAGTGGCATGCTTCCTTGTTTTTGAGTATCTGCTCCCTGAATCCTGTCTGGGTGGTTGTGGGCAAATTCTAAGAGTGGAAGTCCAAAAAACCTGAAAATCCCATCCCTATCTTTTATCCCAAACCAGTTCTGGTAATTATCTGATGATGATAGCTGGCTTCCTCCAGAAGCTTGTAGTACTCCCAGGTAGCACAGACATACCAGTTGAGAGTGAAGGGGGCATTTATCCCACACATACAGGCTGTACAAGGCCATTCTAGGAGAAGATAATTTGAAAGAAAGAAAAAATTAATTACATTTCATTCTCCTAACCAACCTTTTTGGTTTTTCTCTGTCGAAGCTGAGGTAAATCCTTCATCCACTCCAGCTTCTCAAATTCTACATTGCCCATGTGAAGCCATTCTTTCTGAGGCTTCACAGGAAGGTCAGCATCTTTTTGGAAAATGAAAGACAATGTTATTCTTCTTAGGCATACACCACTTTCTTTGGCAATATTTTTGGCTTTGAAAACTTTTTCACATTCTGCTTTCATGGCACAACTAAGGAGGGGGAGAGAGAGAAAAAAACTCTTTTCATCAATACAGAAACATCAAAGGTCTGCCAACAATTTAATCTTCTATAAGATCTAGAGAAGGAAAGTGTTTGGTGACATTAGCGAAATTCACAGATAAAATGATGATGATCTGAATATCAATTTGTATGTGAAACGAATACAATGAGATTAGAAATCAAGAGCAGAATGTGAAATGAAATTTTGTGATTTAAATTGCTCTCTACCAAGTGTAAGAATAAGCATGAAAAGGAAACTACAAAATAAAGAAAACTTTTAATCTAGGAAAACAAATACACTTCTTCTTTGAACTGCACAGGTCTGAACAGCACCGCTTTGGGTATATACAGATTTTTTTTTCAACAAATAAATAGCCTAATCAATCAATCAATCAACAATCAATAAATAGTCAATCAATAAATATTGTGCCCCTGGCCAACTAGAATCCCACGAGTTCAACACCGAAAATATCAAAGTAGTCTACTTTCCTTCAAACACAATTCAACTTCTAATTCAACTTCTAGAACAGGGGGCCATAATGGCCTTTAAGGCTCATTACACATGGCCCTGTATGGAAAGGACTATTAATGCTATCAAAGAGAAGATATATGTTCTGAATATATGTTTTAATCATTTGTTTATGATTTGGAGAGGAGAAGGGGACGACAGAGGATGAGATGGTTGGACAGTGTCATCAAAACTACCAACATGATTTTGACTGAGGCAGTGGAAGACAGGAGGGCCTGGCGTGCTCGGGTCCATGGGGTCACGAAGAGTTGAACATGACTTAACGACTAAACAGCAACAAATGATTTGTAGCTACATTTTTGAAGCATAAGAGTTATACATATATTTTCAAATACATGGAGATCAGGCACCTCTAAACCATAGTGTTGTTGAAGAGAGAAGTGTATTGGGAAAAAAGAGGGGCTTAGTAGGCAGTGTGCTATTTTATTCTCTCCTGAAATGCTGTTCAACGTTTTGGAGCAAGCCAGAAATAAACAAGCAATCGAAAGAATTGTGTACATTTTGGTTCATCAACAACTGAAGAGGCCATGTCAACAGTCAAGAAATCTCTAAAAGATGTAAGGATGAAAGAATCCAGTTAGTTTTACAAAACTAAGCAATAAAAAAGAGCAAAGTGGCAAAAAATATTAGTATCAGCATTCTACCAGTCTTTTTGAGATTTTTGAGGAATGTTTCCTTGAGATGAAGTTCTGAGCCACAGTGAAGTAAATATCCAAATCACACTGAAACAAAACTCTAGTAAATTTACAGTACAGGCCAGTTTACACAGTCATTTTAGGTGTGATTTTCAAACTCTACCTATTGTTTATTTTGGATGACAGGCATAGCAAAGTAGCCTCTGAGTGTTGCAACATAGGAAAAATTAATATTAGCATTCTACCAGTCATTTAGAGAAAGGTGTACTGAGATACAGATGTTCATTTAGAGTGTACTCCAACACACATCTATTCTGAAGTAAATCCTATTTTCAATAGGGCTTCATCGTCGTCTAGTCGTGTCCAACTCTTCGTGACCCCATGGCTTACTCTCATGCAAATGGGCATAGCATCACAGTATCTCAGTATTGTTACTGCAATTATTATTTTTTAAATGCTTGCAGTGAGGTCCTGATAATGATCCAGAAATGTGTGTCCCGTACATTTGCCAGGAGTCAGTGGCTCTTCTGATTGTTTCTTTGGCAATTCAAGCTGCCTTTCATCTACTGGTTTTGCAGAGAAGAGCTCGGTTAAATGTTAAGATGTCAAAACTGATATGCGCACAAACACTATTAAAAGTACCAAACTTCAACCTGACCTGTACATTCAGTTCAGTGCTACTTCTTTCTACTTTTTCGTAAGGACATAAGAAGAGCCCCGCTGGATCAGGCCAAGGGCCCATCTCATCCAGCTTCCTGTATCTCACCGTGGCCCCACCAGATGCCTCTGGGAGCACATGAGACAACTAGATACCTGTCTCCTGATGCTACTCCTCTGCAACTGGCATTCTGAGGTACCTTCCTTTTAAGCCTGGAGATTATACATCCCCATCATGACTTGTAACCTGCAATGGACTTTTCCTCCAGAAATCTGTCTAATTCCCTTTCAAAGGCATCCAGGCCAGATGCCATCACCACATCCTGTGGCAAGGAGTTCCAGAGACAGACAGCATGCTGGGTAAAGAAATCTTTTCTTGTGTCTGTTCTCACTCTCCCAACACTCAACTGGAGTGGATCTCCCCTGGTTCCGGTATTGCATGAGAGTGAAAAGAGCTTCCCTCTATCCACTTTATACATCCCCTGCATAATTTTATACGTCACAATTGTTTCCACCTTCAGGCACCTTTTCTCTAAAGAGCCCCAAATTCTGTAGACTTTCCTCATAAGGGAGGTGTCTCAGCCCAGTCATTTTAGTTGCTCTCTTCTGCTCCTTTTCCAGTTCCTCTGTGTCTTTTTTGAGGTGCGGTGACCACAACTGTAAGCAATCCTCCAGGTGTGACCTTACCAGCGTTTTGTATAATGCCATTATAACGTTGGTAATTTTATTTTAAATCCCCTTTTAAATGACCCCTAGCATGGAATTGGCCTTCACTGCTGCCACACACTGGGTTGACACTTTCATTGAACTGTCCACCAGCACACCAAGAGCTCTTTCAAGTTTACATGAGAAATTAAAGGTTATTTTTCAAATGCTGGAATGGAGGCTGAATATATCAGGGCAGTGGGTGTAAAAAGGAAAAAGTGGAAGTTAGTAGTAAATTGCATTCTTCTGGTATTTCTAATTGTCAGAGTATCTGTTTTCCCCTCTCCAATAATCACTACATAGAGAAGACTGATTAAACCATATTGTCAATTGGATTAGTAATACACACCCTCAGACAGAAGTATTGCAATCTTGTCAACAGGGGGGGAGAAAGATTGATACATATTCTAGTGTTATCAACAGATTGTTCAGTTGCTGAGAACCTCCTTTACAGAAACACAAGCTGACAGCCCGGATGGTGAATATGCGCTGAATCTTTCCAAGTGCATGTTTTGTTTTTGAGACATGCGTTACATTGTCAGCGTATAGTGCCATTTCCTGCAACTTGGCTCCCCCTTACGTGCTGTTTTGCAAGCACAGTACATCAAGCTCGCTCACCCATGTGTACTGAAGTACTTGACTTCCTGGACATACATACAGCAATCGTTTATTCTTCTTCTTTGTGGTGGCATGAAAGACACCAAGAGCAAGGTGTGCAGAAAGCAAGCACTATGTACGTGTCATGTGCCACCAATTCACTTCTGACTTTTGGGGACCTTGTGATCTCCCAAAGGTCACGTATACTTAATCACCCTGCTCATGTCTTACAGACTAAGGGCCATGGCTTCCTTCATTGAATCCATCTCATAATAGGTCGTGCTCTTTTTCTACTACCTTCAACTTTTTCTAATATTGAACAAACATGATCCAAAGAATACGACTCGGGTTTTCCGCACACTCCTGCACATACACTGGCATGATATTTGAGCCCATGGGATGTACTGAATTAAGGGCAATGCTTTTCAGTTATGTTCTGCTTTGAGTTCAGTTTGGGAGAAAAGCAGGACACAAATGAATGACTGAATTATCAAACAACAATCCTTTATTAGCAAGAGATGCTAAAGACTGGACGTAGGACCTTCTGAAAGCAAAGCAAAGGCTCAGTCCCTGTGTTATAGTCTCTCTTCAAAGCGACCGTCTGTGCTTTCCTTCCAACCCCAAAAGACCATGGAAGGCACAGAGCACCAACTGCTGAACACAGAACTCATAGGCTGGTTCCATTTGGGAGAATGGATAAAGAACCTTGAGAATTAGAAGAGAAAAGCTTCCATCTTGTTCGGAACAAGTGACTAGATTTAAATGAATCACTTTTCTGTTGCAAGAGTGGAGAGACATATTTCCTTTCAGAACATGGCTACCATTAGTTTATTCACAATGAATTGGCTCCTTGGAATTGACAGTGGCGGCTTTCCAATGCTAAGTGCTAATGCAAAATTAATATTGCACTTTCCCTTAGTCTACTTACTCTCTGCTGCTCTGCCAAATTTAAAAGACTGTTTGGCCCAAAGGCAGTTTTCACCCTCCTCACATAGGAGACACCAACACTTCCCTTTAAATAAAGCGTTTTTAGCACCAGATGGCTACAAATTAAGCGCAATATGAATGCAATTTGCAGGTTGTGTTGAGGAAAAAAAGAAATTATGGGGGATGAGACATGCTCTTCTGGAAGTGCTTCCCTTCCTTCTACACATTAAAACCGTTCTCTCGACCAGAAAACACTGAACAGTACCCTTATCTCAACAAACCACACACTGCTCAAAACCGAAAGCTATTCAGAGATCTCATTAAGCAGCCCCCACACGGCAGTGAAACCCACAGAATATGTCAGAACAAAAGATCAGAGAGGGAAAGAGAAACAGAACAAGACAGAGCAAGAGTGGATGAGGGACATGAGAAAAGACAAGCAGCAGGATAAAAGAAAGGAACACGAATAAGAAAGGATTGTGAGCAGGAAACCAGAGCTAAAGAGGAGACCTGCACAATCTGTGATCCACTGAGATACAGGTACCAAACTGGCCAGCTACTCTTGGTTTCCCAAGGGTATGACATTCCCTCCCCCTTTTTTTGCAGTCCCATGAAAATTAGGAACCTGTTTTGGTCCTGGAGGCCATTTTATATGGTTATTTAGTGGTCACAATTTGTTCATCAGCATAAAGAGAAAGAAAAGGTGTGCTTTCAGGTTATAAATCTAAGGCAATCAGAAGACGAACAGGACCCAAAAACTGTCTGTTGCTTTTTATCAGCCCACAATAAAGGACAAGGAAGGTTTGGCTTGACTCCATCCATCAGGGTTTGGCTCTTCAGATTTATCCCAGGGCCAGTGCTCAGGGAGGATGGAAGTTGCCCTCTAACAACATCAGGAAGAGTCATGGATTCTTCACCTCTAACTTGACTCAGCTGAAATGAATACTTCAATCCATTAAAGTGTATTTGTTGCTTTCTATTTCTCTCTTTCCTTCCTCTCACTCACAGCCAATATTTAAATGTCAGCTCCTTGAGGCAGAGATATGGTCTGCTGCTGTTTTTTGTAAATCACTTCTTTTATCCCTCAAAGCACCTTATATAGCATTTGGTGCTATATAAACAACATAAAGGGAATACTTCTTTTCCCACATGTCACCATAGCAACTTGCAGTAAGTGTATGTACACATTTATTTTTTCTATATCCTTATCGTTTGGGGAGAAGAGAGACAATGATTTCATCTTCTTGTCCTTCAGCAAGAACAGTTGTCTGAAAGTAACTCAATCAGGATTTACCTGATCCTTAAGTACAGGAAACAGAAAGTGCCCTGATATTATAGAAAGAACATAGAGAATATTGACCCCACAAGGTCTTGCTGCAATCTTATCCACAACAGCAGCAGAATGCAAAATCTAATAGAAGCATGTGGATCATTCTTTCAAACTTGGCTCTGAAGAAATTTTGGAGCATCTCAGCCATTATAACATCTACAACTCACATATAGCTTTCTAAGGTCCCCTTAAATAGTCTCAAAGAAATGGAAAGCAGAAGTCACTAGATCTTGCCAATCAATGCAAATCTCCAGCTGTTTGCCTTTTAAGCCTTGCTAAGCCATGCTGAGGAAAATATAATCTTAAGAACACAAGATTCATAAATCCCACAGGCTTCACCATGTCAGCTAGTTTTAAGCAGCTCCAGAAATGCCTCCCCCACCCAAATGTCTTGTGTTCACAGCATGTTCTAGCTGAGAGGAGCACTTCTGTTTTCCAACCAAGCCCATGGCCATCCGTCAAAACAATCTCTCACTCACCCCTAGCAAATCCTGCACACCTATGGAAATCATAATGGGGACCCAATTATCCCAGAAGTTCCTGTAGGTCCAGCCACAATTACATTTCCTATCTGCGGCTTCAGCCAAGGAATCTAAGCCACCAGCCACTACTGTTGGTGGATGCCAGTACTCTTCTTCTGCCCTTCCTATGCTTTTATGCTGAGTTTTATGCTGGTTATATCAACATTGCTTTTAAAACACATTATTTCATGCTACTATCAGGGTGTGTTTCTTTTCTACTGATTCGTAGTATTTCTAAACTGCCCAGAGAATACTCTTGATGGCAGAAATTAATGAAAGGATTTCAAGATGTACTCAGTGCTATTGTCTCTCATAGCAGAAGGAGAAAATAAACCCAAAAGGACAATTGCAGAGAGGGAAGAACTTTTCCTAAATGTGCATATATTTTCAGGGAACAGGTAACGTTGCCATTTGGCCGTCTGGGTAATATTATAAGTGAATCAGCAGGAAAAACCCAAACACATTGATTGCTCCTGAAGGACAAATAACCTGCCAAGAACTGAAGGTGCCATTCAAAATGTCACCATCAGCAGTTGCATTTCCAACTATCACCCTGTTTCCTCTCTTCCACCCTGTCAGAGAGTCATGCAACGACAAAGAACTGCATGCAATAAAAAAATACTTATGAAGACCTGATGTTAAACTGAAAACAATTATTGCCTCCATTTCTTAAACACCAGACCATGTAAAATGGCTCATTTCCCATTCTTTTATACGGCTTGGTGCTCAGATCAAAAATACCACAATTGTGCCACTTAGGATACAGATTTGGTTTGAGAATTCCTGACTTCTAAAAACAGGCAGTGAACAACAGCCAGAATCTTATTACCTACTTATGCCAGAATAAGCCAAACAGCAGAAACATCGGTACTGAACAAGTTAAGAAGTCTAAAGCTTGTTTTTTCTTACCACATGCCAAGTCACAACTATCATGCAAAGGCAAATACAGGTGTTGACTTCTCAACTAGCAGCAGTTCACTGCGGAGATTTATGCCACTAGATATATGCTGGTGGGCATGATTACTGGTATTGTCCTGCAATACTGAGTATGAACAAAACTGAACCTGACTTTCTCAGCTGACAGATTTTCCGGAACTTGGGAACTTTGCTTTTCTTGAAACACATTTCTCAGAATCCCCTTGCCCTTGCTAGATGGGGGATATTGGGAGTAATTTTCTCAAGTACTACATCTACTTCATTAACAGCACACATGTTGTTACCTGTGACATCCATCCTTTGACAAGCATCAGTCCTTGAAGAGTCTTCCATGCCTGGCTCCCCTTCTGTGTCTGACTCCTGTAAGAAAGCAGCTTTTGGCATGTCTTCTCCCTCTTGCTGGGGCAGAGGCCCTGTTTCTGGTTGCATAAGCTTTCTTGGCCTGTCATGTTCCATTTGTTCTTCTCCTTCCTTTTTTGCATTAACACCATGTCGAGACTTTAGGAAGGCAAGTAAACTGGGATCTGACAACAACAACATGACAAAATACAGACAGGATTAACAGTCCTCCTTGATCCTATGGCCATGGTTTATGTTTTGATTCTTTCTGTCAAAAGTATTTATAACCATATTTTTAGAAAAAGCCTAGCCACTTAGACTTCGGACAGAGATCTGTCATTCTGGTTGCAAGTTAAAGCCATGCAATCATATTCATATTTCAGAAGTGCTTTATTAAAAATAATAAAGTGAACAGCTAATTCTGATAGACCCACAGGCTGTAAGTCTGTGAAACTAACTTTCCTATTCATCCATCTGTTATGAAGACAGATGCTTATATTAGGTTGTGAGGAAGCCACCTTATACCGAATCAGACCACTTGTCCATCTAAGCCTTGCACTGCTAACACTGACTGGCTGCAACTCTCCATGGTTTCAGGCAAGATTCTTTCCTAGCCCTAGCCAATGGGAGTGAGAGGACAACAACGAGGACATCCCCATCCCTGCAGGCGGGCAATGGTGTCTCTTGACTCCCAGGAAGGACTTCCCCGTGGCCAGTTCCCTACAGATAAAGGCCATTTCTGGCTTGGAGGGACATAAGGGGAAAGATAAGGTTTCAGAATAGGAGGGGTGCCCCCTAGAGGAGGGGGAAAGGGGGAAGGATAAAAATGGGGAATAGACTAAGCAGGGGAAAAGAACACATGGAAGGATGTGAAGGAGGAAACAGACTAGGAAGCCTATCAAGTGGAAGCGGGGGGGGAACTGTGAGGGTGGCCAGAAATAATTCCTGTGAGTTGGTAGAGCGAGAGGACTTGTGGACCAGGGAGCTGGTGAAACTATGTGTCCTGCTGGATGGTGCCAAACCTATCAGGCATGCCAAACCCCCTCAGAAGCTCTCCTTCGGGGGAGAAAGGGGAAGGAGAAAAAGGTGCAAATGAGCACATGAGAGAGGGAGAAGGAAAACCAAAAGCCCCTCTTCAGCTACCAGACCTGGTTTGGCACCAAACCAACCATACTCCACTTTAAGTATGGATGGTGAAATGACCCTTAAAGGCCACATGACCCTATCTACCAGTAATCCCCGCTGTCGGCATGCCTCTGCATCTTTTCCATCCTTGATAACCACGCTATAGTACCTACCAAGCAGCCCCCCGAGTGAAGGAAACTGTAGGTCACTGTTGACTTTTGTTAATGTTGGTTACTGCTGGTTGTACCATATTTGTTCCAGATCAATAAACACAATTTGTTAACTGCATATGGCCTCTGAGCATGGAATCTATGTTGTTGTTGTTTAGTCGTTTAGTCGTGTCCGACTCTTCGTGACCCCATGGACCAGAGCACGCCAGGACCTCCTGTCTTCCACTGCCTCCCGGAGTTGTGTCAAATTCATGTTGGTAGCTTTGATGACACTGTCCAACCATCTCATCCTCTGTCGTCCCCTTCTCCTCCTGCCTTCACACTTTCCTAACATCAGGGTCTTTTCCAGGGAGTCCTCTCTTCTCATGAGATAGCCAAAGTATTGGAGCCTCAGCTTCAGGATCTGTTCTTCCAGTGAGCACTCAGGCTTGATTTCCTTCAGAATTGATAGGTTTGTTCCCTTTGCAGTCCAGGGACTCTCAAGAGCCTCCTCCAGCACCACAATTCAAAAGCATCAATTCTTCGGCAGTCAGCTTTCTTTATGATCCAGCTCTCACTTCCGTACATCACTACAGGAAAAACCATAGCTTTGACTATGCAGTCCTTTCTGGGCAAGGTGGTGTCCCTGCTTTTTAAGATGCTGTCGAGGTTTATCATCGCTTTCCTCCCAGTATAGGCAGCTCCCGGTACAGGCAGCTCTAAACTTTGTTACTTTTCTCTTGAAACCCGAGAATGTTCCGAGAGGACCAATGCTGGTGCTGGGTTAACCCTTTTGTGTGAATTCACAGATGACCACTTGAAGAACCATGGTTACCTGTAAGTAACCTCTCTTTTTGACTATGCGGACCTTTGTTGGCAAGGTGATGTTTCTGCTTTTCAAGATGCTGTCTAGGTTTGTCATTGCTTTCCTCCAAAGAAACAGGCGTCTTAATTTCATGGCTGCTGTCACCATTTGCAGTGATCATGGAGCCCAAGAAAATAAAATCTGTCACTGCCTCCA